GATTGATAAAAAAATTTTATTACACACATACAACTCATCGTTTTTGACTATTCAAAACAAAATAAAGCTTTGAAAAGCGCGCCAGTTAATGTGCGTTTGGAATTCAATTCAAGGGATAATTTTCCGCAAGGAACAGCTGCTTATTGTCTGATTCTACATGATCGTATAATCAAGTATAATCCCGTGAGTGGAGATGTGAGAAAGCTTGTCTAAACTTGCTCATAGAAAAATAAAACAGCATTAGTCATGTAAGTTAGTATATGCCATGATGGAGTATGTAGTAGACATGTAAGGCTTTAAAAAGCCTGGCAATAATTATGTGTTGAAAGAATTAGCAATTCTTTCGTTGAGTGAGCGCTTTGAACCACAAGTGCTTCTCATTAAACCACCGTTTCCTTGGTGTAAGCTGAGTCAAAAGTATAAACGTGAAAATTTATGGCTTGAGCTTTACTATCATGGATTACATTGAAAATCTGGTAATATTAACTATATAGATGTTGGAAATGTACTACGAGAAAATCTCAAAGATGCTAAGAAGATTTTTGTAATTGGAGAATTGAAGAAAAGGTAGCTCGTAAGGCTTAATTTTCAAGTTAATGACATGCTTAATTTTCCAGAATTTGAACTCCCAACATTAGCAACTACATTTCCTCATCATAACGGTACGTATAAATCCATGTGTGACACCCACAATGTCAGACGAATGAAAAAATTTTATTTTGCTATAGAGTGGAAAGATGTCGCTGATTCTGAAGATGATGGATACACGGATTATGTTAAAAAGATTAAAGGTTTTCTCGACACTTCTTGACAGTTCTTACTCAAAGAAGTAGCTATTGTGTCTCTTATGACACCAGTAATCAGTCATTTGATTGTGCGGCCCCCGTGCAATTTTTCTACCTTACCTATGGATGTGCGTCAAAATAACGATCATCAGTCGAAGAAAGTGCATGGACTTCGCTGGTTCAAGGGTGATTATTACATTAGAAAATTACAGCAGCACTTATACGCTGTAGCAAAAAATGCTAACAAAATTTACGTTTATAAAGATACTACAGCTGCGTATTTGGAATCTACCATAAAGTGTGCTGTGATTAACATTTAACAATATATAATGCCAACACGTCATATTTTTAGTATGGGATATTCAACAAAGGCGTTAATGTGTGGTACTCATGAGGCACAAAAACGTCGACGTTGAAAGAAATTTTGCGTATTTAGTGAAGCTTATCAAATTAAATTATTTCTGTGCTCTTTGGTAAAAATTGACATTCAACCTGACACAGATTGTTTCATAGACGCTCTTAAAAATTATAATAAGAAATTTTTTAAAATGCATTCCAGCTGGGATATCGTTAAAGGACCTTATACAGCTAATACTGATAGTAAATCTAAATTTGATAATAAGAATATTAATGCCAAAAAAGATGACTGTGTGTAGGCAAAGAAATAAAGCATAAGATATCAGATGAAAAATACTAAAGTACATCTTGCAGCGTAGTACAAAGAAATAAGAGTCTTCTTATCAAAAAACATGGGTTCATACTTTACCAAACCAAAACACGAGAACCTCAGTACGAAAGAAAAGGATAAAAGTAGCCAAGAAACTGTTACAGAAAAAGCACATTGAGGCATCTCAACCAAAAGTCAAGGGAAATTATTATTCCGAAAATATTCGCTCTCGTCCGAAGAAAGATGGATATGATATATTGAGAAAAATTCAATAATCGGTCATTGCTAGGACTGTAAAACTTTTTTTTGTACTTATTAAAAAAGTTAGTACAAATATATGTATTAAATTAAAATTTTTGTCATTATTTAAATCTATTTACATATTATCTTACCAATCTTGAACCTTAAATCTATTAACTTGCTCTATTCATTGACAAGGTACTGAATCTACAAAGTTATTGGGATACGCTTTCAGTAATGAAATAGTATACATGTTTTCTCTACCATGACTCTATGTGCGTGTGCTCGAGAAAAAAATAGCAGGCAAGTGGGCAAGCGTGAACTTACACATGCACGTACACATTTGTGCATTTTCATACATGCGTTTATAGGGGAGTGGTCAGAGTGGGGGCCTCCTCGCAAGTACAACGCATGGGATGGTCCCCTCTCTTGGAGCAGGAGTAAACCAGATACCATCCAGCATCAGCACTTACACACGTGTTTACACAAGTGTGCATTTTCATGCGTGTAGGTGAATGGTCCCATCCCAAAGCGAGTCTAGAGAACAATCTGACACTTGAAAGAGAAGCGCAGATAAGCTCGCGGGATATAGCTTGACTGACCTACTCTAGTAGCACTACCCCTCCGCCCATGGAGCTCCATACCCTCGCGCTACAGCTCCCCCCTCGCTGAGCCAGAACCCTCACACTGCAGCTCTCCCCCCCCCCGTGGGGGGAGCCAGAACCTTTCTAGCTTACCTACATAAATATGCTTCAATATTTGTAGCACATTCAATAACCCTGAAAGAAGATCACGAGAATATCGCAATGGTACTGGATGAAAAAAAAGTACAACTGTATTTCTCTTGCATAAAAAAAAAATTTTTTTAAATATTAGATGCCAAGTGAAAAGTTGATACATTTGACAGGCCACAAACCCAACAAATGTTGAAAGATATACATTTTTTTAATGAGGTAGACGATAAAGAAGAAGAAACTCATGGCTTCGCTTCAAAAATTTAGTGGAAATCATTTTAAATAATCGTAAAAACGAGAATTATGGAGAAATAGCAAGAAATTTGATTCAGAATTATCAAGAACTGGGTTGCTTAACAAATTGTAAATTATACTTTTTTCACTTACATTTAGATTACTATCCTCAAAATCTTGGAGATTATACCAAGGAACATGGATAATGCTTTCAACAAGATATAAGAGTAATGGAAAGACGATATCAGATATGACAAAATGTATGAGAGGATGGGCATTTTTGTGTCATCCTATCCTCCACCTCTCATGTATTTCAACACACTATATGAATCTTGCCATCACATAGTGTTTATCTGCGTTGAGTGCAAGTATTAGTTGTATTCGTCTACGGCTAAGATCATTAGCACGCCGCACTGAAGAGTTCAGCTAGTGGTCGAGAACGAATCAAGTTTGTTTGCACTCATTTTTTTCTACGTTTTCTCTTCTTCCTTTACCTCTATTTAAGGAGTGTCAAGTATAAATTGAGCGCTAGGAGCAAAATTACACTTGTTCCGTAGTATGCGTATGCACACCGTGTGCGTATTTAGATAATCTTGTGAAAAATCTTAGTATATTTCATATTATCATGTAAACCAAAGCTCATTGAGTATTACACTTTCGTCTAAGTTTTATTAAGTAGATGATCATCAAGAAATAGAGACTTAAAATTATTAAGTTAAAATATAATGTTCTTATTGTTGGAAGAAAAAAAGTTTTTTTTGTGGGCCTGTGTTATTAAATTGAAAAGAAACTATGGGCCACGAGACCCATGGAAGAAATAAAGCTTTTTATGAGCTTATGAAATTAAGGAAGCTGCGGTTCAGCACTGGTCTCGACAGTTATGCATGTGAGAGCGAAAAAGGCTGTGAAAAATTCTAGATGATTCTTGAATAATATCTGACGTGGCTTTGGTTTTTTTCACAAACGAATACCATTGTTGATAGCACTGAGCAGCAGTGTCTGAGTGTGATCTTTGGTGTTTTATTGCGGGGAATTTCTTATAACAGAGGAATTAACGTTAGTCATAGTAAAAAAAAAATATTACTTTAACCGTTTTTTAATATCTTTTTTTTAAAATATATTTATAAACATCCATTCCACGAAATTTTGCCATCTCATTTTAATTACTAAAATTTTTATTTGACTGGCTCAGGGTTAGCTTAGATGGAGTGTAAGAATCTGTCAGACTGGCTGGAAGCTCGTATGAGTGAAAGAAAGGTTGGATGTGGTCACGTAATGAAATTCTCTCATTGCTGAATACGTATTTTCAGACTTATCACTACAGCCTCAGGAGCCATTAGAGATTCACAGGTATTAGATAATTTCGGAGGTTTAAGTATATACATTCCTTATCAAACTTTATCAGCCCTTGATTTTTCTTTACTCACACGTTCATTCTCTAGATAAGCAGTGGTGTCAGATTTAAGATTTTTCCTATCCTTTTCAGTAACCATAGTATCTGATGATAATAACTACTTTGACATCTAGAATTGAATGTATAATTGGAAACACTTAAAATCTGTTTCAGCTTTTTGTTTTGCCTGAAAGAGCTTTGAAAAGGTTATGGTTAAATTTTCTTAGCTTCATATGACTTTTTTCTGATGAAAGTAATTTTCTGATTGCAATTTTCAGCGAGCGGTTACTATCGTTGTTAAAGATTCCATAATCTTAGGCATTTTTAAATATATTTGTAAGTTATTTGTGAACTTTACGGGGTTGCAATTGACATGTAAATCTTAAATCCAGCATTTTAATAGATAGTTCGTAGCCTAAGTGAGCTTAACTTTAGCATGGCTGTGTAAGCTTTGCTTTGTAATTTTTTATTCCAAATAACATCTCGCACGTCAGTGTACTTTAGAATTAACTTTATCAAATTTTTGTGGCGAAGATTTAACTTAACAACGTTTATCTACAAATCAGTTGTTTTTATGTAAAATTTACTGCAACATTAGGTATGGTACATCACATTTTCGTAAAAGTTAAAACTGTGTGCAGTATAAGAGTTTTTCTGTCATCTTAATTGATCATAGAAACTAACAGTGATGAATATTATCTTTTTCTTGAATTAAGAAATTAGTTACAAAAGAAATAGAAAAATAAGTTTTTAATGTTTTCGTAATTTTTAGATAGCTTTCTTTGATAAGCTTTTATTTCGTTTTAATAAGTGAAATATTTATTTTTTCTTATCATGAAAAATTTATTAGAAGCTAACAAATGAGTATAGATAGAATTATCCTACTACTATTATAAAACAAACTATTGTTAACAAAAAGTGACAATGTAAATATTTTGTTCTTACAGATTTCTTCAATCCACCTCACGGATTAAGGCAACTCTTAAGACAAAAAGGTCCAGAAGCTTTTGCAAAAGCTGTTCGTCAGAACGAAGGTGTATTATTAATGGACACAACTTATCGTGACGCTCATCAATCACTGTTGGCAACAAGAGTTCGATCTTACGATCTTCTTCTAATTTCACCTTTTGTCGCTCATAAATTTAGTAATCTGTATGCCTTAGAAAGTTGGGGTGGTGCCACATTTGATGTGGCCCTTCGTTTTTTACATGAATGCCCATGGGAAAGGCTTGAAAGTATGCGGAAGATTATACCTAACATTCCCTTCCAGATGCTTTTGCGAGGTGCTAACGCTGTTGGATACAAAAATTACCCTGATAATGTGGTCTTTAAATTTTGTGAGATCGCAGTACAAACTGGAATGGACATTTTTCGAGTGTTCGATTCTCTTAACTACTTGCCTAATCTAATACTTGGTATGATTTAAATATAATTTTGTATCTATTTATACATATTCTTAAAAAATTTATTTAAAAATAATTTTTTTATCATCGTTTCCTAATAAGCAAAAAATTATATAATTAATGATTATTTCTTTTTAGGTACTTTCATTTTTTGTTAGCCAAGAAAACCAGAAAAACTTTAAATAAATTAACTAGTTCTCTTGTACATTTTGAGCTTCCCACCGATAAATATTTTAGTCACCCATGAGCATAAAAACTATTGTTCCTTAAAGAGATTACGACATGACATGAAATTATAACATCGTAACAGCAGTAAATAGTAAAACTTCCTTAGATATTAAAATACGTAAAATCAAAAGTATTTAAACTAAATAAAAGACAAATATCTTAAGAAAATTTTGTAAAGTTCAGAACTTCTATACCTACCAAAAAAACACTTACTTAAGGTGAATTGATTTAAAATTAGGAGGTGTTTTTGCGTCCTAACCGTTCAGTTTTTTTTCGTTTAGTAAATAAAAAAAATATTTTATGTGCGTGTATTAAATAAAAAAAAGAAATATCGTTTTTTTAATATAAATTTTTATTATCCCCTAAGACTAGTAGAGGATATTCTGTAATCACTAGTTTTTGTTATACATACACTTATATTATACAATTAAAACAGTGCTTAAAACAGAAAGACTTATTGAAACTCTCTTAGAGTTTTTCGGATAAGTATCTTCGTCATAAAATAAGAAATTTTAAATTTAAAAAACAAGTGTCGAAAAGTGCTAAGGTGCCCAAGTATAAGATTATACTTTTCTGCTAGAGTCAATATAAAAACGCTGGTATACTCTTTTATAACAATATTTTTATAAACCCACTGCGATGTATGTATCGAAGGTGGTGCAAAAGTAACTAGATTAAGGATATTTGGTGATGTGGTTTTGTTTCAATGAATATTTTAATATTTGATGAGCGAACAATCCTTAAAAATATTGATAAGAAAAGTACAGAGCATAGCCATAATACGATGTGTTGGAAGGTTGACTTTTAAGGAAGTTTGGGCCGAGTTCGCTTGATGATAAAAATGTTCAAGAAAAACATATGTTGTAAAGACATACTGCATGAATGTAGTTACTTAATTTGAACAAAATGATGTACACACATTTTGAGAGAAAAATTTATGGAATTTCTCTTTTTCGTCATCTTTTACACTTTACAAATTGATGAGAATGTTTTGAGAAACTGACATATTATTTATAATAACTTTATTGACATACATGCAAAGTTTCAACAAAATCGTATTTGCAGTTATGGAGATATTTGCGCAAACGTAAAAAAATTTGTTTCCAGTTGGTACACTACATTGAGACAGGAGACACAGACGTACTAAGTACATTGTCTGCCATTGGTTCAACTTTTTACGTGGCATGCTAATTTCTCACACAGTCACTTTTGGAAGCAGTCTTACGCAAAACTATAATCTTTTACTTAATATAGCCGTTTATTAGACTTCATACTTTAATACTACTCGTATATCATTAAGATGTCTTATTTCTTTCATCAAAAAAAGCTCAAATTGACTATTTTGTTGATTTTTTATTTTTTAATTTCACATATAAAAAAATGTATTTTATTTGATTCATACCATAAAAAACTAGATACTTGAAACAATATTCTGAAATTTTTTTTAAACATACTATTTATACACTACTGGGTACTGGCAAATTAAACACAAATGCATTCCGTGTCATTGAGAGAGCGTACTTTTTGGACTACGTTAGTACAACAGACTTTTTCATGGCACTTTATGCATGTATACATGCTGCCCTTCATCTCCCTGTGAGTTACTTAACTTCTTCAAAAGACTACCAGCACTTAAATTATAAGAAAAAGAAATTAAGTAGTGAAAAATAAATGAGTATTTGCATTCGACGTAAGTCACGAACAAGAAACGTATAACTTTAACCTCTTTTTAATTCCAGTATCCAAAAATGTGTGTAAAAACGAGTATTCCTATGCTACACTTTACAGTGACGTTAATACATCTTTCGTGAGACCGTGCTGTTACTGGTCGTATGCACATTTTGTTAACCAAAAAGAATAATGAAGCAAAATTGAATAGAATACCATAACATTTTTTTAAAAATGTTTGTTGTGAAAATACTACAAATCGGAGCTACTACAGTCCCACTTACTACATAAAAATTTTTTAAAACTGTAGATAAAATGCTCCAAATAGTCCTTAATAAGAATTAAAAGTTCTTAAATTAGATATTAACAAATTTTTGACCTCAATAAGTGAAATATTTATTTTTTCTTATCATGAAAAATTTATTAGAAGCTAACAAATGAGTATAGATAGAATTATCCTACTACTATTATAAAACAAACTATTGTTAACAAAAAGTGACAATGTAAATATTTTGTTCTTACAGATTTCTTCAATCCACCTCACGGATTAAGGCAACTCTTAAGACAAAAAGGTCCAGAAGCTTTTGCAAAAGCTGTTCGTCAGAACGAAGGTGTATTATTAATGGACACAACTTATCGTGACGCTCATCAATCACTGTTGGCAACAAGAGTTCGATCTTACGATCTTCTTCTAATTTCACCTTTTGTCGCTCATAAATTTAGTAATCTGTATGCCTTAGAAAGTTGGGGTGGTGCCACATTTGATGTGGCCCTTCGTTTTTTACATGAATGCCCATGGGAAAGGCTTGAAAGTATGCGGAAGATTATACCTAACATTCCCTTCCAGATGCTTTTGCGAGGTGCTAACGCTGTTGGATACAAAAATTACCCTGATAATGTGGTCTTTAAATTTTGTGAGATCGCAGTACAAACTGGAATGGACATTTTTCGAGTGTTCGATTCTCTTAACTACTTGCCTAATCTAATACTTGGTATGATTTAAATATAATTTTGTATCTATTTATACATATTCTTAAAAAATTTATTTAAAAATAATTTTTTTATCATCGTTTCCTAATAAGCAAAAAATTATATAATTAATGATTATTTCTTTTTAGGTACTTTCATTTTTTGTTAGCCAAGAAAACCAGAAAAACTTTAAATAAATTAACTAGTTCTCTTGTACATTTTGAGCTTCCCACCGATAAATATTTTAGTCACCCATGAGCATAAAAACTATTGTTCCTTAAAGAGATTACGACATGACATGAAATTATAACATCGTAACAGCAGTAAATAGTAAAACTTCCTTAGATATTAAAATACGTAAAATCAAAAGTATTTAAACTAAATAAAAGACAAATATCTTAAGAAAATTTTGTAAAGTTCAGAACTTCTATACCTACCAAAAAAACACTTACTTAAGGTGAATTGATTTAAAATTAGGAGGTGTTTTTGCGTCCTAACCGTTCAGTTTTTTTTCGTTTAGTAAATAAAAAAAATATTTTATGTGCGTGTATTAAATAAAAAAAAGAAATATCGTTTTTTTAATATAAATTTTTATTATCCCCTAAGACTAGTAGAGGATATTCTGTAATCACTAGTTTTTGTTATACATACACTTATATTATACAATTAAAACAGTGCTTAAAACAGAAAGACTTATTGAAACTCTCTTAGAGTTTTTCGGATAAGTATCTTCGTCATAAAATAAGAAATTTTAAATTTAAAAAACAAGTGTCGAAAAGTGCTAAGGTGCCCAAGTATAAGATTATACTTTTCTGCTAGAGTCAATATAAAAACGCTGGTATACTCTTTTATAACAATATTTTTATAAACCCACTGCGATGTATGTATCGAAGGTGGTGCAAAAGTAACTAGATTAAGGATATTTGGTGATGTGGTTTTGTTTCAATGAATATTTTAATATTTGATGAGCGAACAATCCTTAAAAATATTGATAAGAAAAGTACAGAGCATAGCCATAATACGATGTGTTGGAAGGTTGACTTTTAAGGAAGTTTGGGCCGAGTTCGCTTGATGATAAAAATGTTCAAGAAAAACATATGTTGTAAAGACATACTGCATGAATGTAGTTACTTAATTTGAACAAAATGATGTACACACATTTTGAGAGAAAAATTTATGGAATTTCTCTTTTTCGTCATCTTTTACACTTTACAAATTGATGAGAATGTTTTGAGAAACTGACATATTATTTATAATAACTTTATTGACATACATGCAAAGTTTCAACAAAATCGTATTTGCAGTTATGGAGATATTTGCGCAAACGTAAAAAAATTTGTTTCCAGTTGGTACACTACATTGAGACAGGAGACACAGACGTACTAAGTACATTGTCTGCCATTGGTTCAACTTTTTACGTGGCATGCTAATTTCTCACACAGTCACTTTTGGAAGCAGTCTTACGCAAAACTATAATCTTTTACTTAATATAGCCGTTTATTAGACTTCATACTTTAATACTACTCGTATATCATTAAGATGTCTTATTTCTTTCATCAAAAAAAGCTCAAATTGACTATTTTGTTGATTTTTTATTTTTTAATTTCACATATAAAAAAATGTATTTTATTTGATTCATACCATAAAAAACTAGATACTTGAAACAATATTCTGAAATTTTTTTTAAACATACTATTTATACACTACTGGGTACTGGCAAATTAAACACAAATGCATTCCGTGTCATTGAGAGAGCGTACTTTTTGGACTACGTTAGTACAACAGACTTTTTCATGGCACTTTATGCATGTATACATGCTGCCCTTCATCTCCCTGTGAGTTACTTAACTTCTTCAAAAGACTACCAGCACTTAAATTATAAGAAAAAGAAATTAAGTAGTGAAAAATAAATGAGTATTTGCATTCGACGTAAGTCACGAACAAGAAACGTATAACTTTAACCTCTTTTTAATTCCAGTATCCAAAAATGTGTGTAAAAACGAGTATTCCTATGCTACACTTTACAGTGACGTTAATACATCTTTCGTGAGACCGTGCTGTTACTGGTCGTATGCACATTTTGTTAACCAAAAAGAATAATGAAGCAAAATTGAATAGAATACCATAACATTTTTTTAAAAATGTTTGTTGTGAAAATACTACAAATCGGAGCTACTACAGTCCCACTTACTACATAAAAATTTTTTAAAACTGTAGATAAAATGCTCCAAATAGTCCTTAATAAGAATTAAAAGTTCTTAAATTAGATATTAACAAATTTTTGACCTCAACCTAAGGACTTCTACATCTGAGGTCTCACTTACTTAAACCTGAACATCGAAAAAAATTAATACTAAATTTAACTATAATAATATTACGAAGCAAAAAGTATTTCTTCACTTGTTGCTAATCAATAGCACATTTAAAGATCCAATTTCGAAGCACTCAACAAAGAGAAAAAACAATCAATAATAAATAAGGGAAAACTGACAAAGCAAAAGAAGAAAGAAGCAGTATTAATAATGTATTTATTAAAACAATAATATCTGAAAACTACACAAGTAATCAATATGTTGATTACGTACCTTTAGCAAGTCTTACATTATGTGTTCCAATCCTCCAAAACATAACCTACGTTTATCGAAACAACTGCTGAAGGTTCTAATAATTCATTACTTATTGTATAAGAATAGCTGTATTTGTATCAGAGTGAGGTAGCAAGTGAATTCATTTTTTCAGTGACAGGTATGTTCTACCCATCGATATAGCCCATGAGTATGTTACGTTACAAGGACAGAAAGTGTAGAATTCTCTCTCGAGTGTAGAACTCTCGTGCTGCCACCCCACGTAGCTTACACGATTTTTCATTTTATTACGTCAAAATATGACATTTCTTTTACAATTTCCGGGTCTAGTGTACAATATAACCTTCAAGTTAAAATTTTCTTTCTCTGATTAGTGGAAAAGTATTCCAGTATCATCTGGGAATAAGTTACCCCCTAAATCATAGCCGAAGCTGGGGAACATGCAGATTGTGGAAAAAATAATTTATCTGGGAGCTGATGATGCAAGTCTTTACCCAGAATTAATGTGGCGCTGTCACTTATTAAATCTGGAAAGAAAAATGGTCTTTTAGCGAAAGTACGGTAAAAATAACTATTGCTGAATTTTATACCTTTCTAAAAGCTGTGATAAATAACTAAGTATTAGATATTACTACAAAAATCTTTGGAGTTAAAAACAATGAATTGAGTAGCTACAAGATGAAGCTATTACCTGTGTCACGAGTCATATACAATAGTTTACGAGGAAATTTCTGTATGAAGACTACATCAAATTTCTCACCATGTACAGTACACCATCAAGGAAAGAATTTTTGAGCCGATAAAATATATCTAGTGAAATGTGCACGTCATAGTTGATTATAATCAGAAAATTTTTTGCAATAATGAAGGAAACTTATGTCACAACCTGTTAAATTTTTTTTTAGTAAGCCAATAAAAGGATCCTAAGAGAATGCAACGTCATGGCATACAGGTGAAAAAAATTTAGTTAAATAAAATTTAAATACTTGCAAAAAAGGACTTACTTCCTAACAAAATGTTTAATGATTGCACTATTAGTATAACCATAGAAACAAATTATTTCTCAAGGGCACTGGCAAGCTAATAAAAGGTGGACAGTGCCAAGTACCCTTTTTTTATGTGAGTCTGTACAGGTTAATATGATGGAATTACAGTATACCTACGTATCACACCAAAGTTAACACTAAACCTACTAAAACAATGGTCTTAAAATTTACTTTTCTATCCTGTTGTAAATGTACTGAAATTTGAAGAAAAAGAAGTTGAAGTAGTTACAAAATAGGTTGAACCAAATGACACTCTATCATAACAAGAGTTTAAAAAAATCTTGGAAAAATTTTAAATACTACAAAAGAAAAGGTCTATGGCAAAAACTTATTGAACCTCAGGTCAGGGAAAGTTTGCTCATTATATTCATCCTACATATGATTTATTAAGTATTGATGATAGCTCTTGCAAAAAATTCATTAAAAAAATACATATACTAACCAACTTATTATACTAACAGTAAAACAATCATAAAAACGCAATAATAAAAGAGAAAAATACAATAAATCAATAAATCTACGATTTTTGAAACATTAATCCCATCGGATATACAACCAATTCTCACTCAAAAAACGTGCTTTCCGAAAAATATAGACACACCTTTTTTTATACTCCTAAACATATAACAGTATCTTCAATACTACACATGAACTTATAAATGAAAAAAATATTATAACTCTAACGTTGATCCAAGTCTTTTTAAACTGGCATTTAACTTTTATTAATAAAGTTTAATACATGTGTAAAAAATTTTTTTTTAGGTACCTACTATAAATGATATGTGGAAGTCTAAAATTTAATAAATAAGGGGATCACTGTATTATCCAACAGCTTTATAAAATTCTCAAAATAGAAGACATGTACCTTAATATTTTGTTCATTCAAACGTAGTCAATATTCTTTTTCCTTATTTCTTACTTCTATGTTTCCGCACTCCTATGTTTTTCGCACAACACTTGTTTGTCAATCAATACTAATAATTGTACCACAATGAAGAAACTAGTTATTTTTACATTAAATAATGTATTCTGTGGATTCTGATTATACAGAAAGAATCTGAGCAATCTCTTAAAAATTTAAAAAACACATTAAAATTTTTTTATTGTCACGCAAAAATTTTTTTTCAAATTAATTATTTTATCAGATAACTATGAAAAAAAAGGTTAAAATGAAAATGAACTTCTAATAATTTTTAGCTTACATTTTAAGGTTATAGTCGTAAGTAAAGAAGTGTGTATTATAACTTTTTACCCAGATATCACGCTGTTCCACTTTTTCCTCTCACAAGTATACAAAGCAAAGTTCCAAGAACCATTGTGATTGTTTACTGGAAAAACTACTCAACCAATTTTGCAAAAATTTTGCAAACTGATTGATGACTTCTTAGATGATTTTTGCCTTTTTTTATCTTGAAAAAGTTAATAACGATATTTATAAATAAGCTTTAAGTTAAGCAAGAGTATGCTATGTTGAAATTTAGTTTAGTAAGATCTACTAGGTGGCATAAAAGTTAAATTTATTTTGTGGCCGTTCTCCCAACTGACCTGATGCTATCAAAGCACCTTTTGCTACAACAGAAAGCCAAGAACAACAACACTGAGGAGTTTGGGTAGCCAATTCAGCTAGTTTATCAGCCTTCATTTTAGTGGTTCGTCTTAATGGCATACTCACGGAGGAGGTATTCTCTAGGCCCACTTCCCTGATCAGCGATAAGCGGTTGGTTATCCAGGGAAAGACATGAAGATGAAATATTCTTCGGCCAGTGGCGTACCTTCCTCCAACATAATTTTCTTACCCAGAGACTCCAACAGTTAGAGTCAAGCTACTCTAAGCAGACTCTTTATCATTGAGAATAATAATAAAAAATGACCAGAAGTATTACCACTTGCCATTTTCAGGACTATTATATGTCTTTACATTCCCTAATTAACTAGATATTTATCTGATCGGTTCTTTTTAGAGCTATCCAACGTTTGAATACTTTGTCAATAAATTTATCCTCACAAGTATTTAAAACAAAGCTTTGAGCACTAAAAGACTATGTAAAGCTGGCTACTGTTAAATAAAATCTTTCATTCACTAGCAGAGGTTACAAGTAGAGTCATTAATTGTGAGGCTGGAAACTACTTTGCATTACCATCTTGGCTCTAAGTGTTTCATCAAATACCACTGGTTCTCTCTGAGGAATGCACTGGGCGAGCCTAATGGTAAAACTGTAAAGGAAAAATTAACTTAAGCAAACGGAAGATTCTCCAACGGATAAGCTTTACGAATTAATTTTTTTTCCTTGGATCATCAAAAATACTAAGCTCCTTAAAAAAAAAAAGACACTTTGGACACAAACGTTTTCAGCGTAACACCTAACACCAGTAGACGTTGGAAAAAAGTACTACAGTTATCTTTAACGCTTTAGAGCGTTATGGTTTTCCTTCCAATCAGTCTGGTGCTACAACAGTAGGCCAAAGAAGATTACTCTGAGGTATCCAAACAGTCACGTTTACCAGGAAATTCAGTCCAGAAAGAGTTTAGCTCATTTGTCCTGTTAAGGGCCATCGAACGTCGACCTACATTGTCAAAAAATATATTTCAACGTATCGAAGTTAAGAAAAAACAGCCCTTCTGGTATGTTAAGTGACGACTTGAATAAATTTTTTTTTCTCAATGATAAAATTTTAAGGATCTTTAAAGAGCCATTCTTACGGAAAGCCATCTGCTAACAAATTTGACTGTGCTACTTCGGGACTCCTGGGAATGTCAAGTGACAACAGAAGCAAGCTGCTCAGCTGAAATTTATGAAGTCAGCAAGTGCTGGTGCCATGTGTGACCTTCGATCGGTCCGCAAAAATCAAGATGTATGCGCTCATTTGGACCAAATGGCCAATCATATACATGTAGTTCCGCACGTCTTGGATTACTAGCAAACCGTGAACACAATCCGCATGCCTTGGCCTAGATTTCAATTTCGGAATCAATGTTGGGCCACCACAAGTATGATCGAGCTAGGCTCTTCATTTTTAAAACTCCCCAGTGACTCGCATGCAACTCGTGCAACATTACTTGTTTCAAATTATCCGGAATTATGACGCGGTGTCCCCACATAATGCATCCATTTACTAATGTCAGTTCAAGCTGCCTCATTTTAAATGCGCTAAATTTTTTATCAATCACATTTGGCCAACCATTGCGCAGAAAAGAATATACTTGACTCAGCATCGGATCTTTCGCAGTCTCATCTCGAATTACATTAATGTCAATCGGTTTAAGGTTAGTTATAAAATTAAGATACGCATACTCTTCTTTCTAGATTTTGTTAATATCTTTGAATTGGTCAATCAAAACGCGTGATAAACTATCGGCTAGTCCATTGTTTTCGCCTTTAATATGCCTTATTTCAAAATTATAGCCACTTAAAAAATCACCCAACGCTGGATTTTAACCACTGCCATCTGGGGCAAGCCTTTCTTAGCACCAAAAATAAAACTTAGAGGCTTATGGTCTGTTTCCAACATAAACTTTCATCCATACACAAACTGGTAGAACGCTTTTACCCCACATACCAACGCTAAAGCTTCCCTGTCTAGTTGCGAGTGATTTCTCTCCGCTCGCAACACTTTCAACGCGAACGCTATAGGCCTTTCACTGCCATTCTTGTAAATGTGTGACAACATGGCATCCATGCATTTCGGCGACGCATCATAAGTAATCTTAACGGGGCGTCGTGTACTGTAGTGCGTTAGAACCACAGGAGAAATTACCGCATTTTTAGCGTCTTGAAACGCGTTTTCTTGCTCTTTTGTCCACTCCCATTCTATATCACCTTGCAACAATTCGTACAATGGAGCTACAATATTCGCGAAGTTTTTGATGAATTTCGAGTAGTAGCTGATCATGCTCAGAAAAGACTTTAACTCGGATTGTGAATCAGGCTTCTACATATCAACTATCGCCTTTGTTTTTAAAGGGCTCGTTATAATTCCGTCAGTTGATAACTCGAAACCCAAGAAACGAATTGAATTTCGCGCAAATTCACATTTATCTCGATGTAATGTTAAATTGCTTTCCTGCAATCATCTCAAAACCTTGCGCAATCTCGTGTCATACTATTCTTTCGTGGTTCCCAAAATAAAAATGTCATCAAAATACGACACAACTCCTTTAAAATTACGCAACAGATTTTCAATTTCTCGTTGAAAAAGTCCCGGGGCCGAAGCCACGCCATACATTAACCTGTTACACACGAAGAGTCCCTTGTGCGTCGACAGTGTGAGCAAAACCTTCGACTTTGCATCCACCTGTACTTGATGGTAGGCTTGTGCCATGTCTAACTTACTGAAGACCTTTCCTCCCGCCAATCTAGCACTCAAACCGTTTATGCTAGGTATAGGATGTTTATCGATAGCCAAACAAGGATTCACGGTGACACTAAAATCGCCGCATAAACGAATCTCCCCGTTCGCCCTTAACACTGGTACTACAGGCGTACCCCAGTCACTGCTATCCATAGGTTCAATTAATTTCTCTTTCACTAGCCTGTCAATTTTATTCTTGATTTTATCGTGCATTGCATGCGGGATGGGTCGCGGCTTACAAAATTTTGGCACCACACCTTCCTTCAATATCAACTTGAACTTTTTGGCGTTGTAACACCCCAATTCTTTCGAAAATACTCTCATTACCTCACGATCGATTGTCACACCCTGTATTTCGTCTTTGAGTAAGCCAATTGTCACTGATTGGCTTTTATCATCAAATTTTAACATATTCAAAGCTTTTAACAACGTGCGATCCACAATCGGTGCATTGCTTCCATCAATCACAAACAATTCCAACTTGACAGGCTTTTCTTTGAATCTAACCTCAACATCGATGATACCACGCGGGACAACCAAATCGTTTTGGTGTGACCTAAGCTTCCTGTTGGTTTTTCACAGAATCAACTTTGTTGCTGGCATGCATTTTTTGAATTTTTCAGTCGATATGGCAGAGACTGGGGACCCCGTGTCAATTTCGAATTTAAGCGGACTTCTCTCTACCAACAAAATAACCGACAACAGCCCTGCCCCTTTCTGAACTCCTGACGCCCTTACGTTATTAATTACGTCGCTTTTCTCCGACGACTCGCTATCTTCGACGACAAAGTTATTTTTTATTTCCGCTCGGACTTCTTTTTTACGCTTGGCTCAGACGACGCTTGTCTGCAAACCACCTTCAAGTGTCTTTTTTTACCACACACATTACACCCGGAGCGCAAGTACTTACATTCGCTTTTGATATGCTCGGTCTTTCCGCAACAATAGCATGCCCTCGTTCCCTGCGTCTTCTTTCCCTCCCCGGGCTTTTTCCTCGTAGTGACGTAGTTGACTGCTCCCTCCTTGTCGTTTTTCATTTCCGTGGCGTCCCTACTGGCTGATTCCAATGATAGCGCTGACTCAATTGTTCGATGATATGTCAGCTTGTTCTCGCCCAGTAGCCTTTTTTTTGTATGCTCGTCTGCAATTCCCCAGACGAACTGATCTCGAATATTACTCTCGAGTGTCTGTTCAAACTCACAATGCGTCGACAACTGCTTCAATTGAGCAAAAAATTGTTTGACATCTTCTCCTTTTTTCTGGCGACACTCTTTAAATTCATAGCGTCGAGCTATAACATATAACACTGGTTGCAAATGCTCCTTCATTTTCTTGGTTAACTATCCGAGTGGCAACCTCGATGGCATCTCCGGTAAGCACAAATTTTCAATTTACTTGTAGCCATCTTTTCCCAACAAGGTTAAAAATACAAAGACCTTCTTTTTTTCTGACAATTCGTTCACGATCGTGAAATGTTCGAATCGCTCAAACCACTCAGTCCATATATCTCTTTCCTTGAACTCGTCAACCATTCGCAATGTTCCACGTACGACCGTAGTCATAGCTATAGCCGCGCCCGTCAAATCCATCATCCGTTCGGCAGCTTCACGCTTCTTTTGTTCTTCCCGCAATTTTTCGTTTTCCACATGCAGTTGCTGCATATACACCAACATTTCTTCTGCTTCCCGCAGAGACAAATCACTGATTGCCTTACCTTTATACATGCATGTTCGTCTTTCAACATAATACTTTTCACTATTTTTGAGCACTTTGTTACCCAGCTCGTTGCGATGAACTAGAGTAGTGACCTTACAAATATATATATATACACGCTCTTTTTGGTTTATAATCACTATCAACCGTCAATCGTTGCCAATTTGTTGTGATCCTTGTAGCCCGGGATAACAGAATAAAACGAATAGTGACTTGCATTAAAGAAGGTTTTATTAAAATAATGAAATACTCTTAACTACAAGAGGACTGCCCCCATTGACAGTCCAGAACGATCTGCTTTATTCAAGCACGCATCATACTCGCTCGACTTGAGAGCTTCTCTCGACTGACACACAACGCCATCCATCACATTCATTACATTTCCTAATCCCAAAGTACACATAGTATTTCTCCGTTTCTATTTTACTTAAATTTTTAAAATTTTAAAGTTTTTTAAACTGTAATTAAAGAATGTAATTAATTATTTAATGATGGCTTTGTTTTTAAAGTAAATAAGTAATGAAGCAGATTAAAAATAATAGATTAATCCAAATGTGACACGTACACGTCTGTATACACTTCAAGGTCCAAAAAAAGCTGTATGATCCCTGTCAGGTTTTCCAAAAGTAGTGTGGGTGGTGGTGGAGGTGGTAGGGGGTCACGAAAAAATACGTGGGGGGTCTGTGAGGGGCTGCGGGGGGCTGTGATGTGTCAGAATAAGGGAGAAAATGACGGATTTTAATCTTATTTTTTAAGGGGCAGTGGGGGGTTAATGAAGGTCTGTAGGGGTTGTGTGAAATGCCTCACCAAGATAACTATACAACAAATAGAAATGTATATTAAAATAATCTTTAATGCCTTTTTATCTCTGAAAAAATTAGATTAACAATTACGTATTGTTCTGCACAACCTTGATGATGCATGCTTTTTAAAAAATCAAACAAAAAGCTATATTTAATTATTCATAAACACTCAAGCCACCACTGCAATGCACCGCATGACCGTGCCTGAGTCTATCTAATGTCTGACATGTCCGTCAAAAGATATTTTTGTTGATCTCAAAATACTAAATAAGTTGTGACATGTGAAGTAGTAACAATTACAAAAACTGAATTGGCTGGTCCAATTCTTTAATTCTCTGATCCATGTTCGTGCTAATGGCTTGGCTTTATTTATAAAAACAACAATATCTAATTATCGAAATCAATCGGCATTCCTACACACTAAACTTTATTGCTAACAGCTGATTTCACTTTATTTTATGAATCATGTAAATTTGCCCTTTAATTAAGGCCGCTGATATGGGCTACATAACTGCATTCGCTCGCATAAACAAACGCAAGTGAACACCCTTTTGTAGCAGAGGTCTAAGTTTTGGGTAAGTTCAGACCCAAGTGGAACGGCCGAATACACTAAACCTCCGGACCTAAGGTAACTTTATGCGTCAGAAAACTGTGCATTTACTTGTCAACTAAATTATATACATGTGCACACGTCAACATCAAAATAAAAAATGGCTTTATAAATTTGCTATTGTACATACTTACAATGATTTTGCATTGATCTGCGTTATACAATAGAAGAATAACCTGGTCTTATTTTGAGTAAGTATTTTCCTATATCCCTATTAGCATAATTTCAGCGAGATCATCGTGTTATTGTCTGATTTGGTTGAATATGAGCTCTTAATATTACCGAGTCATAATTTGTACTTTAGGGTAAAAT